TTTTTTATTTTTTTTTTTTAGCATTTCATAATTTAATTTAATTTTATTAATTAAAATTATTTTAATCAAAAAAATTTAATTTCGTCATTTCATTAATTAGTGTTTCACCTTTTTTTTTTTCGTATTTTTTTTATAGGCCTATATTTTAATCCTAATTATATTTATTAATATTTTTTTGTTATTTGACATATTTTAAAAATTTCCAATCTTTTCCCTTTTTTCAGCATGGATAAATTATATGCATTAATTACAATGACTTATAAATATCAACTTCAACTTTGCAATGGACCTGAAAATATTGTCTTCATTACGCTTAATCATTTAGATTGTATTCGTAAAATTTTACCTGATGATGAAAAATTGAATGAATTTTTAAATATAGCTCATCAAATGGTTATTAAGCACTTTTCTTTCCTTCTTTTTTTTTTTAATTAAACAAATATTAATTAAAGATTTTGATAATTAAATGAGATTATCATTTTCTCCCGTTTTTTTTTTTTTTTTTTTTATAAATATTCTTAAAATATGAAGTATTATTTTAGCGCTAATAAATAATTAAAAATATACCATCATTATTGCTATCAATTATCATTAATTAATAAATACGATTACATATTTGAATAATAATTCAAATATATTTTTAAATTTCAGAATTATTATATTATCATTGATTATTATGTTATCATCGATTAACTGATACAATTACATATTATCATATCACTGAAATATATTTTTAAATTCCAAAATTATTATGTTATCATTGATTATTATATTATAATTAATTAATAAACACGATTACATATTTGAATAATAATTCAAATATATTTTTAAATTTCAGGATTATTACATTATCATTGACTATTATATTAACATTGATTAATTGATACAACTACATATTATCATATCATCCAAATATATTTTTAAATTTCAGGAATTATTATGTTATTATTGACTATTACATTATCATTAATTAATTAATACAATTATATATTTGAGTAATAATTCAAATATATTTTTAAATTTCAGGTTGTTATGACATATCATGAAATTCCACTTTGGGAGAAAGCAATGATACGAAGTTGTTTGTTGAATTTTTTTCAGGTCAAAATAAATTTTAATTTTACAATATTTCTATAAATAATGATTTGAAAAATGATCAAACTATATAAAGCTTGTAAAATTTGTTGTTTTAAAATTAAATATTATTTGTATATGAATTAAAATATGCAAATTAAATGATTGTCAAGAAATTTTTTTTAGAAATAAAAAAAAAAAGTAAATTTTATTTTACTTTGAGGATTCACGAATGAATATATCATTGTTTATACGTGATAATAAACAAACAGAAGATGGTTATTTCGTTCTATTTCCTGAATCAAACTATCAATTACTGTATAATGGTAAACCACCTGGAAACATACAATATTTTGAAAATGATGAAAAAATTCGCTCCGAATCATTTGTCACCGATGATAATTCTGTCACATATATGTCATGTAGTTCTATGGTAATTATACATACACAAACATTTATCATATCCAAAAATTTATTGATAAGGATAAGTAATTGGTTACTTTAAGCAGAAGATTTAATTAAAAAGAAATAAAAAACAACAACAATGTCAAGGTATTATAATTAATTATGAATAACTGTCAGGTTAATTGATAAAAAGATTTGATAAAAATAAACAATCCTAATAATATTTATGCTTTTAACCTAATTGATTAATTGTTAGGAATTAAAATTGTGGAATATTTTTACAACCTTTTTTTGATTATGGTCAATTTAGGGGAATATTGAATTGAATGCAAATGATCGAGGTACAACATTGGGTACTAATATGTATATGTCACCAGAAAATTTACAGGTTTTAATTTTCCCTTACCTTTTTCAAAGTTATTCAAAATTTCAATTTGAAATATGTCGCCAAAAAATTTACAGGTTTAAACTTTTCCCTACCTTTTTCAAAGTTATTCAAAATTTCAATTTGAAAGGATATAAGAGCTCTGATTAAAATTTCCGTCGAACAAAATTTTTTTAATTTTTTAAAATGAAATATTTAAACTTTGGACGAAATTTTTTTTTGGTGATAAAATAAGGGTTATTTTAGAATCACTAAAAATAACCTTGTATTATCATATCATTGAATGGTCATTTGTGTATTTTCTCCATAGTTAAATTTAATTTTGGTTATTACTTAAATAATGATTAATTTGAATTTTTACACAAATGAATTTGTCTTATTTTGTTTTAATGTTTGTTATTATTATCGTATCATCGAAGGGTCATTTGTGTATTTTTGTATAGTTAAATTTAATTTTAGTTTTTACTTAAATAATGATTAATTTGAATTTTTACACGAATGAATTTGTCTTATTTTGTTTTAATGTTTTTTAAATTTTTAGGTAAAAGTAATGAATTGGTAGGGAAAACAATGGATTCATTACCAGATGATGAATTACGATTATTATCAGCATTAATTGCTAATCCTAAAAATGATCAACAGAATGGTTTTTTTTTAAACAAAATTTTAAAATTTAAAAAAAAATAATAATCAAATTTATTAATGAAATTGTATAAGTGTAAGAAGAAAGGTTACTGTAAAAATTTTACTGTAAAAATTTTAAATTATTGTAAAAATTTAAAAAAAGAAGAAAAAACTTTCCTATAATTGAATATTTTTCAATTTTAACAAAACTGATTTTTATTTCTATCTCGTTTTTTTTTCACAGATTTTTTAAAATGAAATTTTAAAATTTAAGGATTTAATTTGAGCTTATTTACTGATGAAACAGACGAACAAACATTTCTACAAGAAGATAATCAAACAATGGCAACAATTATCACTCATATTGATGCTAGAAAAGATCGTAAAACAATTACTGCTGCAGTTGCTGATGTAAAATTTTTTAATTAAATTTTACAAAAATATAAATTAAAAAATTTTCCTTTTTTTTGTAATTTTAATAATTAAAAAATTTTCCATTTTTTTCATAATTTTAATAAATTAAAATTTTTAAATGTTTAACTTTTTTATTGACATCCTTTCTTGTCGTATTATTTCAACATAAAAGATGTAATTCATAGTTTTTCATATTATTCATTAATTTGATAATAATCAAATCACTTTCTTAATTGTATTATCACATCATTTTATTTCTAGGAAAATTTATTTATTAAAGAAAAATTAAAATTTTAAATAGTAATAAATATGCTAATTGTTTATTGCTATTTTGAGAAATATAAAATATCAACAGATATCATACAATTTATCCAAATAAAAATCAAATTTTCTATTTAACCATTATAGGCTACTTAAAATTGAGTTATTAGAGTAAACAAATTGTTTATTGTTTACACATTTATTATTCCGTNTAATCGTAATTATTAA